TCAATGCTATTATCTAAAATTGAATGGGGATATAAGCCCTGATGAGCCTTGCCTTCACCACCATGCCCTGCAGGCTCATGCTCCAGGGCCCTCCTTCGGAGTTGGAAGGAGCCTAGAGACATTCTTGGCTCCTGCATGGATGAGGCTCAGAGAGGGGAAGTGACTTAGAAATGTAGCCATCACTCCTCCTTGGAGAGGTGCCCCATGGAGACTGGGCCCTGTGGCTGAGGGTGTGAGATCTCTTGGGAGGGGGACTGCTATCTGGGAGAATGTGCATTCTGTCTAGGGCCCAGACTTGGAGAACAAGACCTGGATGCTACTGACCGTAGCTCCACAGCCTCACGGTGCTTGACCAGCACAGACAGCTTTGCAACTTGCACGGCCAGGATGGACTGTGGATCAACAGTGTGCAGACCAGATTCAAATTCCCTCAAGATCCAGGATGGACTGTGGATCAACAGTGTGCAGACCAGATTCAAATTCCCTCAAGGGCTTGAATGAATTTGGAAATCACCCCGGGGCCCTCCACTTTTCTGAAGGGGTCCTCTGTCCCCCTAGGATTAACCCAAAAAATCTCTGTGAGAGAGAGCAAGAGGGTCCTGGATAGAAGGAGCAGAGGACAATGGGGCAGGGTAAGAAAATCTTCTTGTTATGATTTAGATGTGGTGCCCCCCCAAAAGCTCAAGTGTGAGACAATGTAAAAAGGTTTGGAGGAGAAATGTTTGGGTTAGAGCCCAAACTAATCAGTGATTAATACCTGATGGGATTAACTGAGTGGTAACTGGGGGGCAGGAGGGGTGTGGCTAGAGGAGGTATGTCATTGGGGCATGGCTATGGGGTGTATATTTGTATCTGGCAAATGGAGTCTCTCTCTGCTTTCTGATCATCATGTGAGCTGCTTCCCTCTATCACACTCTTCCACCATGACATTCAGCCTCACCTTGAACCCCAAGAAATGGAGTCTGCTGTCTATGGACTGAGACCTCTGAAACCATGAGCCCCTAAATAAACTTTTCCTCCTCTACAATTGTTCTGGTTGGGCCTTTTAGTCACAGTGGCAAAATAGCAGACTAAAATAGGGAAGGGCTTTGGAAAAGGACATTCAGGAACAGAGAAACTCAAGGCTGGGCCTCATTCATGCATTTGTTTGTTTGCTCATTCATTCATTCATGCGTTCTCCATATTGAGCATTTCCAAAGCTCCAGGAACTGTGCTGGGTGTTGGAGAATAGTGGTGGGAAAGATAAGGGCAGCTTTGCATGCACAACTTGGGAGCCACCTGCTCTTTTGGTGGACTATGAAGTGAATGGTGCCCCTGGAGGTGTTCGGTGCACAAGCTGCTCCACCCAGTGGCTTGAGAACAACATGGTTCTTGTCCTTATGAGTGGGACAAATATCAGATAGCAGAGTAAACTATGGGCATTCAGTGGATGCCCCTTGAGCCTAAGTCTGTGTGGAGACCACCCAGGTGAAGCAGGACTGTGGATAGGCAAGGAACATTCTCAGCAGAGGAAGTAACATCCACCAAGGTCTGGGGAAGGCCCAGAGGCAAAGCACACCTGGACGGTTCAGGGAACGGCCATAGGAATGGCTGGGACTCTAGTGTGGGGTTGGGTCTGTGACGGGGAGCCTGCAGAAGACTTTGTACTGCACACAGCTGGAAGCCACCGAGGGCTTTCACACCAGGGCACAGCATGGTTAGATTCAGCTACAATCTGGAGACGAGGTTGAAAGAGGCACCGCTCAAGAAGGGGAACCAGTGGGAGTTTTCCCAGGGGCATAGGCAAGACCCCCTCCCCATCTCTCCTTATGTCACTAGGTTTTTCCTCCCTCTTGAGCATCTTCTTCATGCCAGGCACTGTTCTAGGACCTGGAGAATAATAATGAATAAGCCCCTTGCCCTGACTTCAAGGAGAAGTCAAGTCAGCAGGAAATAAAAATCCAAGGCTGAAGAGCAGTGACAGAGATCACCTGCATGTAATGGGTGTCCTGGGCAGCCTTGGGAGGGTTGGGAGGCTGCCAGAGAGGAGGAAGAAGTACCTAGGTGATTCCTAAGGCAAGGAGGACAATGCGGGAGTGTTGACGGGAGTAGGAACTTCAGATATGGAAGTAAAGAGAATAGCATGAAAAGCCCCAAGGAGACATATGAGGTTGTTAAGACCCACAGAAGTTAGGCTGCTTGCCCAACGTCACGCAGCTCATTAGCAGAAAGAGAGAGAGAGAGAGAAAGAGAGAAAAGTAGAGACCAGTCTCTTGTAAATATGTGCTGTTCTCAATCACCTTGCCAGCCCTTGGTTCCCCTTTGGCCCTTTTCCCTCGCCCTCAGACTATGCTTGGTCTAGAAAGATAGACAAGCCAGGGGACATGAGCTGTTCCTCAAGGCTGGACTCACTTGGCAAGAGGTCCTGTGTTATATCCTCTGCCAGTCCTCACCTTTCCTGACCTCATCCTACCAGCTTGACATGCAAAACCATCAGTTAGAATTATACCTATTATCAAAAAGTCTGAACACCAATCAGAATTCTTCACGATACTCTATAGCCACTCAGTCAGTCAGAATTCAATGAGTCTCCAGCCCAAGCCAAAGCACAAGTATTCTTTGGAATTATGAGCTGGATACCCCTGAAGTGGAACAGCAATATCTTTGCAAGGAGCAGGTAAGAGCATGTTTTTTTTCTCTCTTGGTACCCTGTCCACTTCTTGTTTTGTATAGCATGGTTATTTAAAAACAAGACTCACTGAAATGTTATTATGTCTAAGATGCTCTGCTAGACGCAAAGGGAAGGGTACAAAAATGAATGCAAGATAGTTTGTGTCCTCAAGGAGACCAGAGAGTGGTGTGGAAGTGCATGGACTCTCATCTGGGCCAAGTGACTCCCAGGTCACACTGTCATGTTCCTGATGGATCATCTAATAATAATAAAAAAACCTTATTACTGGGTATTCTATATTTTAATTGCTAAATAAGTTAAGACCTTCCCTTCCTAAAGCTATCACAGTACCATGATTTTTACCTGGAATGATGAAAAACACATCTAGTCACTTTTTCACACGCCAGTACTTCCATATTTAAAACTTGGTTTCTTTCCTCTCTAGAATTTCTTCATGATCCCAACTCATTCTGCTCTCCTTCTTCAGGAAACTCAGGATTCTCATTTCACCTTTAAATTCAGCCCTCAGAACAAAGCACAGGGTGCAGACAAGGCCCTGGCCACTAACCCTGAGGCTGGGGCCTTATTCGCCCTCCTGTGAAGGATGCTGAAGGTGTGTGCGCTGTGTTGGCAGCTGCTCCACTTAATTCTGGTGCACCCTGAACTCACAGTAGACTGAAACCCTAAAGCCTTTCTCCCAGAACCTGGCCTGCCCACCTATTTACTAGTGCTCCAGCCTTTTCTAAGTTACAAGCAAAACTTTAGATTTCTTCCTATTTGAATTTTTTCATTTTAAATACCCTTCTGATAAGATATWTTTTTTAAAAATCTTAGATTCTATGATCAAGATGTTAGCTATTCTCCTTCAGCTTTATGCCGTTAGAAAGTTTGGAAAGTTTGGGAAACGTAACTTTCATGCCTTTGTTCAGTTCTTTGTCAAAATGATTGACTTGGACAGGACCAAGGACAGCACTCACTTAACTCCACTGGAAGTGGCACTGATAGAAAACCAGTGTGTGTGTGTGTGTGTGTGTGTGTGTGAGAGAGAGAGAGAGAGAGAGAGAGAGAGAGAGAGAGAGTGAGTGTGTGTTCTGGTTGATAACAACACATATGATTACATTGTCACTTAGTCCATCTATTCATTTCTGGTTCACAACTTAGTCCATCTATTCATTTCTGGTTCACATAAATATCATGGGAGATTCTGTTAAAACACTTCACTGAAAGCCAGATGCACTGATACAGCTGGCCCCTAATCCAAGATAATGGCCTGGATTGATGCCAAAAGAAAGAAAAGAGGTTAATTTGGCTTGACCCAGTCCTATAACTTTACTACTTGCTTCCTTTCCTAAGATTCACCTTGTCCACTGGATTAAATAACGATTCTTTGGATCCTACACATTCCAGAGCCAGTGGGGATCTTAGAGGTGATTCAAAGTCTAGTTCCCAATTTTGCTGATGAGGAAACCAGTCCCAGAGTGCTTAACTATCATCCCCCAAATCACAGGTTAGCAGAGGAACAACAAGGATTGAATCCCATTTCTGTCTCCAAGTTCAAAGCTATTTCTTAAGAGCATCACATAATCATATCTTTCTCTAAGCATGTGTGTGTGTGTGCGCGCACACACACACACACACACACACACACACACACGACTGTCTGCACCCTGTGCTTTGTTCTGAGGGCTGAATTTTAAGACTTTCCTTCCGGTCCCTTAATTGTCCACTAAAACATACAGCGGCATCATCTTTGTTTTAGGCTCAGTGGGACCCCATGTCTGACTGACCACTTTTCCCTCCTGCTTTGCAGAACAGCAAATGAAGGCCAAGAACTCCTTCATGGGATTTGGGGGATCTCTAGACTCCCTGAACTGGGTTAATCTTGGGAATCCTCTGTCTACCTAGAAAAGGACACTGGCTCACACCTCATTTGCACCTGTGTGCCTGGGCATTAGGCTTGCCCTGGGTGGACATGTGAGCTGGGCTCTGTCTTGTAAGTAGAGTGGAGGTGAGGACTTTTTCAGTGAACATTTGATTCCTTGTCTAGGGGCCTGTGGGAAATTTTAGGCTTCCTGCACATTATGAAGGGGACAGAGTCCCTGCATAGACTGCCTCAGGACAGCCCTGTCGTGTAAAGGACCTGGATGGGAGTTGGGCAGTGGCCTGTGGTTCATTCCCTGAGGAACCGACTCCAGGGAAGGGCAGATTAGGTGGCTCAATGCAGAAGAACAGGGCAAGAGGGTGTGCCTGCAGGGTGGGCCCAGAGCGGGAGGTCCCTGGTACCCTGGACAGCCCCCAAAGGCAGGGCCCCTTCACCACCCTCCCCGCCCCCCTGGGAGGCCCTGGGTACCTGTTTATTCTTTAGGTCAAGGGAGAGTTCGTAATCCGAGGCGGCAGGGGCGTGGGAGCAGAGCGCTGTCAGGGCAGGCTGCTGCTGGCCGGGGGAGGCCACGCGGTGGGGGCCGGCCCTCGGGGAGGCACCCCCCGCCCCCGGCCGCTCCTCCTCCTCCTGCAGCTCCTGGGCTTGAGCCTTCGGGGCATGGGCACTGGGTCTGCCGGCTGCCACCGCCGCCGCTGCCACCACGGAGTCCTCCATGCCCCCACCAGCCTGGGCGCAGGAGCCATCGCTGTGAACAAAAGGCAACGGGTGCTCGGTTGGGGGAGAGGGGGACAGGCATGTGGCCTGACTTTTCTGGCAACTGGGCCTTTCCAGTGAGGGGGACCGCTGGGGGTGTCTTCTGCAGTCCCCCCTAGGGAGGGGCTATGATGATGGCCAGGGGGTGAACCTGAACTTGGGGAGGGTATCTCAGATAGAGAAAAGGATCAACAGTGGCCAGAGTCCATGATGCTCTGCTTAAAACTAGAAGCCGAGAGGTTAAGAATGACTGTCTTCAGATCTGGAATCTGCCTCTTCTCAGCTATGTGTTCCTGATTTAACTCCGGTTACTTAACTTCCCTAACCTCTTGTTTCCCCATCTATAAAATGGGCAGAATCATGGTACCTACCTAAAGGGGAATTTGGACGGCTAAAGTTAGTTAAAATTCTTAAAACTGCCTGGCTCATGGTCACTGCTATATATAAGTGTTAACTACTTTACTTATCAGTGCTTGGGCTCCAGGGCCATTAGCTTAGGAAGCTGGAGGGAGTGAATTTGCACAGAAGCAGTGTCATCTTTAGCCCAAACGCGTTTGGGGCAATGAGAGATACTGAAAGGCCTGGCTTGAATGTAAGCCTCTCTAGGGTGGGTGGACTCTGGTTTTGGGAGCTGGGTCTTTGAGGAAGAGGGATCTGGTCCTGCTGGGCTGAGGGAGGCATCTATTCTCTCCTGGCCCCTCTTCTCTTTAAGGAGCCATTAGCAGGCTGAGCATGGCTGCTGCCCTCCTGCTTACCTAAGAAGACAGCTCTCTGACAGAAGCAGCCACACTGCAGCATACTCTGGGGAGCTAGTGAACTCAGGTTGCTTTTATCCCCCAACAATCTCCAAGTTAGCCCCTCCCTCAAGGCCCCAAACCAAACCACCTTCTCCAGGAGCCTACCCAGGTGACTGCAGCTTTCACTGCCCTGCCTTCTAGAAGAACACGTCCTTAGAGAGTTGCTGCCTATTTCTTGGAGGAGGAGCAGCATCATGCTTACCAGCAGGGGCTCAAATCCAAGCCCAACTACTGAGTGGCTTGGGGCAGGCTGTTTTGCCTCTGATCCTTGGTTTCCTCATCTGTGTAATGGATGTACTAATGCCTATCTCGTGGGGTTGTAGTGAGGAATATAGGAGTCCATAGATGTAAGGTGTTCAGCAGAGAGTACATGCTCAATAAATAAACTACTTTTCCCCTTTCTAGCCCTTCTTAGAAGCCGGGGCCTGATTTTATCTGATTCTCATATCCCCAGTGAATGTTGGACAAACACTGAGTACTCAATCAAGACTTGTTGATGAGTGAATTAAAAAGAACCCCCAGGGTCCTGGGAGTGGCCTCTACATAGACAGGGATAGAGGTCAGGACTGGAAGGGGACTTAGGGTCATCTAATGCAGCCTGGCAACCCCTCCTCTTTTACAGAGGAGAAGCGGGGGGCCCAGGGAGGTGGGGCACTTTGGCACAGAGAGATGGGCAACTGCAGGACTTATTTCTTCTGAAATTTTGCCTTCATGGAAGTTTCTCCAAGTCATCTCAGAAGAAGGACTTCTTCTCCTTGGGGTGCCCAGAGATGTGCGAGAATAACCAGGAGTGGGATGAAAAGTGCTCTCTTTACCTGATCTCCATCTGTCCCCCCACACCCCCTGAACCCTCACAGCTGAAGGATGGCTTATGGGATGACCTTGGTAATAGGGAACCCTTGTTGCTACTGCAGAGTTCTTTGCTCTACCATTTCTCGTGTGGCTACCAGTCAAGCTGCATGGTTGGATGTAGGTCTGGGCATCTTTGATATGTTTTTTTTTTTTCCATTAGCATCACCAGAAATTTCTTTTTAAGACCTAACTTCAACTCCTCTTGCTGTAGCACATGCCCCTTTCTTCCCTCAGAGAACACGAAAATAGTCCTTTTCCACCACGAGCACAACTTGCTCCAGGGCCTGGAGGAGCACTCCGCCTCACCGTCTCTTCTCCAGCCTGTTCTCAGCACAGACACCCAAGGCTTCTTCACTCCAGAGGTTTCCAAGACTCTTTAGGGAACTAGTGGCTACTCAGGGCCACAAATATCTAGAAGAATAGCCCTTTTCTTGCTTTGATTGTTGGAATATGCCTGGCAACAGATTCTAGGTGATTGATGGCCCTCAATGGCTGCATTCAGCTAATGACAATGAAGGGTAGGGGGTAAACGCCACAGCACCCTTGTCCTTTGGGTGGGATAACTGTGAGGCAGATTCTACACCATTTTCCAAAGTTCCTAGGGAACTGATCCCTGGCTGCCCAAAGCAGTGACTGGATCATTTACAAAGACCACATTGGCTTCCTTCTCTTCTATATCTTGTTTTCCCACTCTCCTATGGGTACTTCCTGGGGTCACCTTGTCCCAAATAAATTATTGGCATTAAAACAAATCAACTTTTAGAAATAACAGAGGCCCTTGGCATAAGCCTCTGTTTGTGGCTGCCCCTCTGGATATAGACAAAAGCTACAAGGCCTTCTTCCTTGAGTTCATTCACAAGGCCTGGGAGCGAGGCTGTGCACAGCCAACTCAGGCATGCACATATGCACACACCGTGTACAGAGGCCAGTCCACCAGAGCCCACCAGCCCCAGGGATCCAGGTTCTCTGGCTAAGAACACACTCCACCTTTGTCTGCTTATGCACAGGGACCCAACAGGCTGGAACCTTCCAGATGTATCATGAAAGTGTTGGAAAGGGGATCTTGTCCTTGCCTTCCTGCCCTAGACTTCCCTATAGGCTGTTTGGTGGAAGGAGGCCATGGAAACCTGGAGAGCACTCACCAATATGGCAAAGTCTTGGGTTATATAGTAGAGGACAAAAGACATGAGTTTTCGTGTCAGGAAAGGGTTAAAAATGGCTCTGCTACTTCCTATGTGATGTTGGGCAAGTTGCCTGTCTTCCTTTTGGCTTTATTTCCTCATCTGCAAAATGGATATCCTAATAAGAATTTTGCAAGGTTGCCAGTGGGAACAGATAAGGCATGCACAGCCCCTAGGACAGTGCCTGGCACTCAGAAGTCCTTGATCAATGGTGACAGTGGTGGTGGCTGCTTGCTTTTTGAGCTAGACCCCTACAACATAGAGTCTCAGAGAAATCCACAGAAAAATAATATGGAGGGTTCTCCACACTTGGCCTTCCTGTCAACCTTCACAAAACTGAAACATGGGTTTTCCATCATAGTTCACGGCCTTTTCCAGCCCTCCAGATGACCCACGGGAGCAGCAACACGGTGAAGAGATTTTAGATGGCACCAGCTCATGGGATCCATGGCCTCTGAGGAATCTCTGGGTGCTAAGCACCTGCCAGGGCAGGCCCATCAGCTATGCCCACCACAATGTGGGGCACTTCCTGGATGGGCATTTGTCCAGTGCCCACAGCATAGAYCAGTGCTTTGGTCACTTTGTCAGGGAACAGAAGAGGCCTGAGTGCTCAGAGCATCAGTAGAATGTTAGTAGCTGAGGATCACTAGAATGTTCTTGGCTGTTTTCCTCTCTGCACTCCGTGTTTACAGACAGTCTGAGGAAAGGTTGGAATCTTCATCCTAGGCTATTACAGAAGGTTGGATCATCTATTTCTTAGGGACCATCTTCTTCAATCCACAGGATCCAGAACATCTTTCCTTCCAAGACATAGTCTCTTCAGCCTCTAGAAGTTGCTGGATTGAGCCCACACATAAGCAGCTGCCATCGCTAGGGGGTTAGATTTTTTAGGACAAGAATCCTGTGGATGGGGTTCATTCATTCTTTCATTCTGTGACATGAATATCTTCTTTCTTGTTCTTTTCAGTTGGACATCTAAATTTATTAAAACTTAGATGTAGTAGAGACTACTAAAATGCTAAATTGTACAGTAATTATAAAAGGGACATATTACATGATTTGTCCATGAAGTTCTAGAGTGTTTGTGTGTGTGTGTGTGTGTGTGTGTGTGTGTGTAATTTTTTTGATACTGGGGATTGACCTCAGGGGCACCCAACCACTGAGCCACATCCCCAGCCCTATTTTGTATTTTATTTAGAGACAGGGTCTCACTGAGTTGCTNGGCAGATGAACCCTGGTAGGTGAATGGCATACCTCCCCATACCCCCAGTTCCAGGCCRCCAGCTGTGCCTGTATCCAGGACAGGTTTGGGATTCCTGACAAAAGTCATCAAGAGTACAAACGCAGCTTGGTTGCCAGCCCACAGCGCTGGCAGTTCTGGAAGGCAAGCCCAAGGAGACAGTCCCCTGCTGGCACAGAGGTGCCTGGGGGCACTCTGCTCTGATCCTCCCTGYATTTCCCAGAGGCTTCCTTCCAGGGCTGTGCTGCTTCTCTATCCAGACATGGAGGGCAGGTTCCAAGGGACTTCCCTCCACCCYCAGTCTTTGGCTGCATTGGCCCATACAGTGAGCAACATAGGCCTGAAGGATCCTGACCTTTCTGCACACGAGGCTCAGGCTGGCAGAGCTGAAGGGGCAAAATCTTTGTTGGGGTTTCTGCCAGGGGGTCCCCTCAGGACAGTCCAGCCAAGAAGGGCTCACCTCCTGGTTCTTCCCCTCTGRCTCCTCTGTCCACAGCCTATTCCCTGAGCCTCCTTAGCCCGGCCAAGGGGCTCCCCTAGGACCCCCTGGCCTTCTCCTGGGGTTTGGCCYGTGCTGAATTTCTGATCCTGCTCAGTCTGCCTCTAACCACCTCCCCTGCCCCAGGTCATGGTCCAAGTCCCCTGAGTGGGCAGGTCTTAGCTTAGTTTGGCTGAAGCTTTCCTTCAGCCACACAGACTTCCCTTTCCTCCACCCTGAGGGAAAGCCAAACAGAGGGAGCCAAAGAATTCTTTMCCATAAAAATCAATTTGGAGTTGTGATGAGAAAAGCACTTTCCTTCTGGGTAATCCTCTCCCACTCATAAAAACATTGAAAAGAGACTGAAGACACATAAGTCCGTCACAGAGTATTCACTTGTAAAGAAAAGAGTTCTCACCGCAGGCCTGGGACTGCTATCCTTGG